CTGCTGCGGCGCAGGGACCCAGGGACAGCAGCTGAGGTTCAGCTTGCTGCTTACTGTGACCCCTGCTGGTAGCTTCTACAATGCTGGCTGATCACGGAGCAGGAGTGACTGCTCCTCCTCGCACCGCCCAGGTCATGCCGCGGGACCACTCCAGGAGAGGGAGCTTCTCCGAGGATTAGAGAGAACGGCCGGCACCACTCCCTGCTCACCCTGGGATGGCCAGTAACAGAGGTTTCTGGAACTTGGCGCCTCACTGGGAACCAGCAGGGTTACAAAGGGAGCGGGTTCCTGGGCGCCATCGGCTATCAGCAGTGACTGAAAAAGCCTGCCACACTGCACTCCGCAGACAGCGCCAGCCTTGCTAATGCTTTATTCCCGCGTCACCAGGCAGGCAGGCCCTGTGCCTTTACAGCTTCCACAGGGACTCGGCGTCTCTTGTAACAACGGGAGCCTCTGCTGGTGTCCCGACCTTCCATGACGTTAATGACAATGACAGTGGTTCCTACCGAGGAAAACACGGCCAAGCTTACAGACAATGCCCAAAATACCACACAGTGGGCAACAAAGGAAAACTTGCAGCTCTAAGTGTATTTTTAAAAAGACTGAAATTAAATCAGCAAAACATACAACTCAGAAACTAAAAGTCAGGAGATAAACCCAAAGAAACAGGAAAAGGCCAATAAAGTAGGCATTTTGCGAAGCTAGTCAAAGAAAAATACACACAAAAAATTACAAGGTAAAGATCCACCCCTAAAATAAGGGTACCAAGTGCAGATGTTTTATAAATAAATTTTATCAAATTGTGAAGAAAAAAGTAATTCCTTTTCTATAAATTCAAACCTGAAGAAAAAGATTAAATGTTCCTAAACCAGTTCTACATGATTGCATGATTGTTATCAAATGGGATAGGGAGCTCAGATCATTACGACAAAGTGAGCCCTGGCTGGTGTGGCTCAGTTGGTTGGGCATCATCCTGTGCACTGTATTCCAAGTCAGAGCACATGCCCAGGCTGTGGGCTCAATCCCCAGTAGGGGGCGTGCAGGAGGCAGTGGATCGACGTTCTGTTTCCCTCTCATATCAATGTTCTTTCCCTCTCCCTTCCTGTCTCTAAAAATAAAAATTAAAAAAGTGAAATTTGCCTGAAAGGTATAAAAATCCTAACTAAATACTATAAAAATCAAGCAGGGTTGTGAGAATGGTTCCATATTAGGAAACCTATTAATGAAAATTAATACAATAAAGCAAAACCTTTTGATTATCTTAGTAGATGTGGAAATTCATCACGATATGTTAAAAAAACACACAAAACCCTCAGTAAGCTAGAACAGGAGATACCTCCAGCCTAATGAGGGTTATCTATGAGAAACCTAAAGCAAGAAAACATGAGAACGACTCCTGCTAAGAGACGAACAAATAAGGGTGCCACTCAACACTATACTGGAGGTCCTGGCCTCTATAACTCAAGAAATGAGCATCAAGGATCAGATAAACCTACCTCCAGTCGATTTTACTCTTTAGTCAGAAAGTGGAGAGAATCAGAATTCATTTAGATCAATGAGGTGAGCCCACAAAGATGGACAGCTTTCCTCCAAGCCAGTGACGGTTACAATGTAATTGTACAAGACCCATTCATAACAACAAACTCTCAGATTCCTGAGACTAGCTGAACTGGACACATTAGAGACCCACATGAAAATAGCACTTTACAAAAGGACAACCAACCTCATTTTTGGATAAGAAGATTCAAAAGTCTTAAGATAGTACTTTCCTCCAAATCCAACCATGAGATTTAAATCCATGCCAATGAAAATCTCAACAGGACTTTTAAATGAAAACTGACAATCCATTCTAAAGTTCTTATGTCAGAAAAGACATGAAAATGTGAAAATGTTCCAGGAACAGTGGGGCAGAGTAAGGGAGCTGTATCAATCATGCTATAAAGTGTGGTAAACAGGACAGATTAGAAATTCAAAGGGATCCACATATATGCAGGAATACGATTTATTTTAAAAGGTATTCTCAAGCAACGAGGGAAGAATGAGCCATTCAATAAATGACAAGGGACAAGTGGCCACATCTTTAGGAAAACAAGTTAGCTATCTTACATAAAAAAAAAGCTTCAAACAAATTTGTCTCTACCACATCTGTTTACTTTTTGTTTGTATATATACATTTTCTCATTCTTTTTTAAAAACATTTTTATTCATTTCAGAGAAGGGGGAGGGAGAGATAGAAACATCGATGATGAGAATCATTGATTGCTGCCCTCTGCATGCCCCACACTGGGGATCGAGCCCACAACTCGGGCATGTATCCTTGACTGGAATCGAACCTGGGCCCTTAAGCCCAGACTGATGCTCTATCCTCTGAGTCAAACCAACTAGGGGTCTCTCTCTCTCTATATATAAACATATGTGTATACACATACACACAAATACATAGATATGTGTATATGTTTAAAGCCATAAGCAACATAATAGAAAGTGAGAAGAGCAGATACATGTGGAAAGGTTGAAGTCCCATTGGGTTCCAATGGGAAGTAAGAAGATAGGAAGATCCACGAAGACATTGCAGGTTTGGTAATGGGGAAGTGTGAGTACTCACCAATGGCCTACTATTTCTTATTTTCTTAAAAAAGAAAAAAAAAAAAAAAAAAGGAAAAAGATGTGTGCATGTATACTAGTGGCCTGGTGTACAGATTTGTGCAGATTGAAAGGACATTAACTAGAATATGTTAATATTACTATTAACTTACTAGAGGCCACATGCAGGAAGATTCATACAAGAACGGGCCTTCCTTCCCCTGGCTGCTGGCACCGTCTTGGCTCTGGCCAGAGCCACCTTTCCGCCTTCCCACGCTGCCCAGAGGCCGGGGCACCTAGGGCAGTGTGGAACACCTGCACCCCAGCAGCTCGCACCTGCATATGCAAATTAACCCATCTTTGTTGGGTTAATTTGCATAATCACTCCTGATTGGCTGGTGGGCGTTGCAAAGGTATAGTTTATTTACATCTTACTCTTTTATTAGTGTAGATTTCTCCAGTGCATCACCCAAGAACCCCTGCTGCCAAGTTACTGCAGGTCAGCAACTCCTATGTTGAGCGTCTGTCCCCTGGTGGTCAGTGCATGTCATACCTATTGGTGAGATGGTCGCTTAGCCTTTTATATGTATAAATACATATAGTTTTATTGATTTTAAGAAAGGGGGAGAAGAGAAACATCCTTGTGAGAAACATGGATCAGTTGCCTCTCACATACCCTGACTAGGGATCAACCTGCCACCTGAATACATATCCTGATCAAGAATTCAGCCCTAACCAGTTTGGCTCAATGGATAGAGCATTGGCCTGTGGACTGAAAGGACCCAGGTTGGATTCTGGTCAAGGGCATGTACTTTGGTTGCTGGCACATCCCCAGTAGGAGGTGTGCAGGGGACAGCTGCTTGCTGTTTCTCTCTCATCTCATTGAAGTTTCTAACTCTCTAACCCTCTCCCTTCCTCTCTGTAAAAAAAAATCAATGGAATGTATTTAAAAAAAAAAAATTCAATCCGCCACCTTTTGGTGTACGAGATGGCGCTCCAACCAGCTAAGCCACACCAGTCAGGGTGGCCTACTATTTCCTAGTGAAGAATAAGCTGTGGAAGCTAGCAGGGAAAGGGAAAAAGGTAGACAAGATAAGAAGTTTCAAAATACACCCCAGAGTTGATCTGCTAGGCAGTGCTGAGGGTTCATCTGCGGTTTACAATGATAAACTTAAAGTAAAACAAGTGAGCCCAGTTGGTGGTTTTCTCAAATAGTTATAGGCACAGAGGTGAATGATTGGGTTGGCTGGGGTTAGGTTTTAGTAGCTGAATACAGTGGAGGAAGACAAGAGGTGGAGGGTGTGGGCCATGGAATCCAAGTTGCAGGAGGAGGAAAGCGAAGGGAGAAAATGGTGAGAATGTGGTGGAGTTGGAGGATAAAGAATTTTTGCAGAGGGGGTAGTTGAGCAAGTAAACAAGAAAGCCAGTATACAGGTATTTGACTTCTAAAGTTGTTACAAGTCCTACTGATCAGGGGCACAGGGGGTAGAGATGTAGGCAGCAGGCCGGGAATAGAAGACCCGAATTAGTGATGGGGATTATCAAGGAACTAAAGAGCCACAGTGCTGAACAGGCCCATCCACGGGATGTAGAATGACTAAGCAAAGCTAAGACTCTAAGCCAGGAGATTAACTTTCTGGTCTGCAGAGATTACAAGGTCGATGCCAGCAATGAGGAGGAGTAACATCTGGCCAGAGGTTAAAAAAAACAGAGAGGTAAGCGGGATATGTTTCACAGGAGGGCTGAGGAGTGACGGTCTAAATTGCTAGAAGGGTCCAGCAACCAGGGATGCATCCGGCAGCGTGGAGGTGGGCTCCTGCAGTCACGGGGACTAGAACTGCAGGGAAGTCAGCTTACGAGGTACAATACTATGAAATTCATCCTGAGTGTTTCTTAGAGGCAACGGGGACTAGGTCCTATGGCTGTGATCCTGATGGCCCGAATCAGTACTGGTTGAGAGCAGGCAGTAAAGTGGGACTGTTCCCACTTATGAAGTACATGCAAGGAGGAACAGCACAGGGCCTGCCGCTTACTAAGTGCCCAATGAGAGAGAGGGGGAGGGAGGGAGAGGGAAAGAGAGAGAGAACGAACATGAACCTAGGAAACCTTAGTTTCCTCCTTAATTTCAAATCATTCAAAATGTCCAGCCATTCCCTAGTTCCTGCCCATGAGACCTCTCCCAAGGAGCAGTTTTTAGCTGATTCACAGCTCCCTCCTCCCTCCAGAGAGCCACTCGGACACTGGCACAAGTCACCCCCCCCCAGGGGTTTAATTCTCCTGAGTCAGCAGGTCGGTTCGGAGAGGAGTCCTGCCTTGTCCCCACTCGGGGAGGATCTGCAGAGCACCCGGGATTGTCCGAGGTCAGAGAGGGGCCACGGACTTGTCTCTGAGCAAGAGGAGAAGCGGGTTCCGGAGCCTCAGGCTGTCTCCTCCTCCTCGCTCTCCTCCTCGCTCTCGTGATACTGTCTGCGATTGGTGTTAACAAAGAGGTCAGAGTCATCTTCCGAGCTGGACTCCTCTCCCGATGCCTGGGGCTCTGCTGGGAGTTCTGGCTGAGTTGGTCTTCACGGGGAAAAGGACAGAGTTAGCCCAATGCTTTCTGGGAAAGCAACATCTGCAAACAAGGAGCCCCGCAGAAAGGAGGGCCCTCTGGGCTCAGCGAGTCAGGGAGCAGAGCAAACAGCAGGAAAACTGGGCCAACGAAAACAGGTTAAAGACAACCCCCTCTCAAACGTTTACTAGAGCCACTGGTTTTAATTGTAATTACTCTCCTTACTAACACGCAATGGACCCACACTGCATACAAAATACTATCCTGAGCAATTTTATAAGCATCAGCTCCTTTAATCCTCCCAAGGCTATTTTATAGGTGAGGAAATTTAGGCTTTAGAGATGACGTAATTGCTTAAAGTCCCCAATTTGTAAGTGGCAAAGCCAGGATGTTAACCCCCAGAATTTAACCACGTATGTACACCCACATATTTAGGAGCTCTCACGAGGGAGAAAGACAGGCCCTATTTCCCCAAGTCACTAAAGCTTGAACCCTTTTCCGTCTTCTCAACCCTAAGGCTGGAACCTCACCTGTTCCTGTTGTTGTGTTTCTCAGCCACCTCAAAGGCCTCAGGCCTGTATCAGGAGAAAAGCCAGGGTCAGAAAGAACAGAGAAATCTCTCACCGTAAAAGCTGTCCCTACCTGGATGCTATGATCTTTCCTCCCCTAATTTCACAGCTAAGGAGTCAATCCTCCCCAAACCCCCTAAATCTTACAGCCAATGGCCAAGGGGACCACCTACCAGAGCCCATCCTTCTTCAGAGAGCGCACGTGGTCCTTGCAGAGCACGAAGGAGATCTCGGCCTTCACCTTTTCCCCCTCTTCAATAGGGTCCACGATGAGAAAGTCCCCTGGAGGCAGAGAGGCACAGTCAGTCCAGCTTGCAGCGGCGGAAGCCCAGGCCACAGGAAATGGTTCTCACTCCTAGAGAGCTGGCCCTCTCACCTCTCTTGATCCAGATGTTCTTGCGATATTTGGAGGGCATGCTTACCAGGAAGCGCTGCCCCTGGGCGGTCTCCACTTCGTGCAGATTGTTCCCTGGGGTCCTGAGTACCTGGTTCAGGAGACCAAGAACCATCTGGCCTCATCAGCCAGCTCAAAGGCCCACTGGGCTGGCTGTCTTCTCCCCCAGCCCAGGGCGCCAACAGGAGCGGACGGGTCGGGGCAGAGCAGCTATGCCCAATGCTACTCACCCTCACAATCTGCTGCTGGTCAGAGGGCACCATATGCTCCCCCAGCACCTCCTTCACCACGTGCTTCCTCTTGGTGGCCTGCGACATGCTGGTCCTGTCCCAGCGTGGTGAGGCGCAGAGGCTGTCCACCTCTCCCGAGTCTCCTGGGTGGCGGGATCAGGACCCAGGACTGCTTTGGAGATGGGGAGGGGCCTCTGACTGCGGAGGGGCCGTGTACTCGTTAAGAACGCGGGCTCTAAAGTCTAACTGTATGGATTGGGATCTTACTTCTGACTATTTCCTGTGAACAAACAAAGGGGTTGTATGGACAGTGAAGATGATCTGATAATGAAGCCCTAACTGGGCAAGTCATGGTGGCTAGTCATGCCCCAAGTCTGTAACTTTTTTACTTATTTATTTATTTTAGAGAGAGTAAAGGAAGAGGGAAATAAATGTAGATTTGTTGTTCTACTTAGTTGTGTGTTTATCGGTTGCCTCTTGTCTGTGCCCTGACTGGAGATCAAACCCACTATCTTGGTGTGTCCGAACGACGCTCTGACCAACTGGACTACCCGGCCAGGGCCCAGGCCTAGAACTTCTTTAACGAAAGGTTTTTAAGTCACGACCCTCAAGAGAGCATATAATCACATTAACTATCCTGGAACCCAACCCCCACCTAGCTTTCTCCCACCCTTTTGTAATCTCCCTTAGTTCCATCCTTTAGTTCAAATCTATAAATGAAAACTGCAAAACTATTCATCTCCGGAGGGTTTCAGATCTTGCTCCCTGGCACATGTTGTCAGTTTGGCTCAAATAAACTCATAAAAATTCTCCACAGGTTTGGAAGTTTTTAGGTTGACAATCCTTACTGTTCAACTCTCTAGGCTTTGGGGGGGGGGGGGGAGAAAAGAATAGCTAACCCAGGGCATTTATTAGGATGAGCGGATGTAAGCAAAGGACTCAGAACAGTGTATGGCACATAAAAACAACTCATGTTATCTTAAGTACTGGCATAATCATAAAAACTAAATAAAGCATTCTGGCCATCGCTCGGGAAGAGATAAACGAAACTGTATCTTCCTCAAGATGCTGGTCCATCCCAGTGCAGCACAGCCACGCAACACAGAGGCTCGCTATCTCAACACAATCCAGGCAGAGGCCAGTTAGGAGAGCACCGCCAAGGTCCACGCCAGGAGCTGGCTTCACTAAAGGGCGAGGTCAGCAGTCTCGGTCCAGGGCATCTGCTCTATTTCTGACTTGCGTTCGGAGATGACAAGGACTGGCACCCCCAGGTTTACAAAGGAAAACTCCCAAGCGCTACTTCTGGCTGTAGTTTTCTGCCTCCCGCCCCTACCCCGGAGGAAAGACGCCGAGAGAGAGCGAGACCCACGCCTACCTTCTGGACCTCTCCTCCCAGGGCGCCGCCGGAGCGATCCCGTTCTCCAGGCTGGACGCTGGGAGCGGCTTGTCCACGACTCACTTCGCAGCCGAGCCGGCGGAAGCACAGAAAATGAACTCGCCGGTGCGCAAGGCGGTGGAGTTTGCTTGGACCCAGGTCTCCAGCGTGTCGGGTTCCTGCCCGGCTCCTAAAAGCCCGACACGGTTCGGCCGGAGTCGGACCCTTCCGAGAGCAGTACTTCCGGCGCTCTGCCGGAAGTCTCCAGCCACCTCCTCCCTCCCCGTCCGACCCTCTATCTCTTCCGGCCGCCAAGTGGGCCGACGCTAGGTCTTTGAGTTCCGGGTGCCGTGCAGCCGGGAAAAGACGTTTTCTTCCTCAGGCCTCCGCTCCGAGATCGGAAATGCTGCCCGAGAAGAGAAATCCGACGAGGCAGCCCGGCTTCCCGCGAGCCGACCGAAAAGGAGCGTCCGCTAAGGTTGCCGTGGAGGTCCGGAGCGCCTCAACTCTATGGCTCTACGCAGCTAGAAGCGCCAAATTTAGTTTTTTTAAGGCGGCTCTTGAGGCGACCCGGAAGCGGAAGTGGGAGAAAGTTCTAGTGGGTTGAGGTATCGGCGGGAGCTGCCGGCGGCGGGAGAAGCCGTTACGGGAGCTGGGACTGCCGGTGAGCGCCCGCCGCGGAGCAGGGCCCGGTGTGGGAACCGGAGGTGCACGGAGGAGGGAGGAGGGAGGACGGGGGCGCCGGCGGCGCGGCCGGCGGGAGCCCGCGCCCTTGGAGAGGGCCGGGCGGCGGGAGCGGGCGGCGCGTGGGCGCGGCGGCGCGTGGAGGGGCGGGGCGGCGCGCGGGGGGCGGGGCCGGGCGGCCGGCGGCGGCGTGGGCCGGGCGGGCGGGAGCCGGTGCGCGCTCCGCCGGCGCCGCTGCCCGCCCGTGAGCAGCCGGGGCGGCGGGGGCGGAGGGCCCTTTGTCTGCTCTTCCTGCCCGGTGGCCGCTCCGGCCAGCAGCGCCTTCGTTTCCCAGCCGAGGTCACAGAGGGAGTGACCCCTCGGCGAGCCCCGCCCGCGTGCGCCACCTGAGAGGGCCGGATCCTCTTTCCTCCCGGCGGTACCAAAGCGCTTCCCCGGGGACTGAAGAGATTTCTCTCTCGCCAATAGAGGGGGAAACTCTGTTTGGACCTTTTTTTATTCTTCTTCTTCAAGAAAAAAAAAAATTACTGATTTTTTTACAGAAATAGTTAGGAACATCCGGGACCGGTTTGGCCCAATGGATAGAGCGTCGGCTTGGGGACTGAAGGGTCCCGGGTTCGATTCCGGTCAAGGGCATGTACCTTGGTTGCGGGCATATCCCCAGTAGGGGGTGTGCAAGTGGCAGCTGATCGATAACACTCTCTCATCGATGTTTCTGACTATCTCCCTTCCTCTCTGTACAAAATCAATAAAATATATTTTTTAAAAAAGAAAAGAAATAGAAACACCTTTGAGAGAGGAGCGTCCATCAGCTGCCTCCTGCACACCCCTTACTGGGGATGTGCCCGCAACCAAGGTACATGCCCTTGACCGGAATTGAACCCGGGACCTTTCAGTCCGCAGGCTGATGCTCTATCCACTGAGCCACACCGGTTTCGGCTTGGACCTCAGTTTTCTTCTCCGTGAAATGAGGGGAATCAGTAAGCCACCGTGATGGCTGGGTTCACGTTCTCTGAGTATGAGACCTGGGCCAATGGGCCTTTGGGACGTTTCCGGGTTTTCAGCCCTAACCTACCTTTTCTTGGGGTTCCCAGATCACCCCTGATCAAGATGACAACCTCCCAAAAGCACCGAGACTTCGTGGCCGAGCCCATGGGGGAAAAGCCGGTGGGCAGCCTGGCGGGGATCGGTGAAGTCCTGGGCAAGAAGCTGGAGGAGAGGGGCTTTGACAAGGTGGGAGGCTGCGTGCAGCCGGGGAGGGCCGGGGAGAGCCGGGTGGCGGACTGCAGCACTGCCTGGTGGTTGGGCGGGAGGGAAGGGGTTTGCCTGCTGGGGTGGGCAGTGTTGTACAGTCTGAGGAGATAGCCAGAGCCTGCCCTTCCTCCTGGGCCAGAGGTCGGCAAACTGCAGCTCTCGAGCCACATGCGGCTCTTTGGCCCCTTGGGTGTTTAGCAAAGGTCAGCTTAGGAGGACCCTAATTAAGTTAATAACAGTGCACCTATGTATGTAGTTTAAGTTTAAAAAATTTGGTTCTCAGAAGAAACTTCATTAGTTGTCCTGTTGATATTTGGCTCTGTTGACTAATGAGTTTGCCGACCACTGTCCTAGGCTCGTGGGGTTTGAATGCACTGCCGTGGCGCCATTGTAGTCTCACAGATCACTGAGCCGCCCGCCCTTTACCGTGCCCGTCTGCAGGCTTACGTGGTCCTGGGCCAGTTCCTGGTGCTGAAGAAAGACGAAGACCTGTTCCGGGAGTGGCTGAAGGACACGTGTGGCGCCAACGCCAAGCAGTCCCGGGACTGCTTCGGGTGCCTGCGCGAGTGGTGCGACGCCTTCTTGTGATGCTCTCTGGGGAGCCCCCGCCCCCTGACCCCCGCCTCGAGTGTCCAGAGTTTGCAGCTGACTGGGGGTACTCCCTTGTCCTCTACAAAGGAAACGATTGCTGTCTGCTCACCACCAATGGCCTCCGGTCTTCGGGGGAGTTCTCTCCCCTCACCATTTCAACTTTTTTGGAATTCTCACTTGCATGCATCTCCCTTCTCTTTCCCGCCAGTTTCAGGTCAACAACCAGCTTTTCTGAGTGGATTTCTGGCCCCTACCCTCACCCCTGGTCTGTTTAATGACGTTTGGCTTCTCTTTTGGCAAAACCGTCACTGTCCATATAAAGTTTTTTAAATCAATAAAGTCAGTGGCCTTCCAGTACCGGGCTTTGTGGTGTGAAAAGCGGGTGAGCTGGGAGTCGCCACCTTCCCAGGGACTGATCAGGTCTGCCGTGCTTATCAGTGCACATCGAAACCGGCACTTCCTCCTCACTCCCAGGACAGCCACCCCGGCACGCAAGCCTCGGTCGGACAGGTGCCCTGAGTGTCTCAATCCCTAGTGATGTGGGAGAGTGTGGGTTGTTCCCTTCCTGGATCCAGATGGGCTGTGTGTTCCAGATGTCAGTTGAGTCAACAGCTGGGCTAGGCAGCACCGGGTGGAAAAGTCTGTGGGCGTCAGAGGTATCAGGAAGAGGGGGAACCGATACGGGCAAAAGTTCGCCTGTGTCCTGGCATGGGGAGCAGCGGGCAGGGCCCTTACCGGCTGCCCTGCTCTCTGAGGGAGGCAGGAAGACCAGGGGTATCGCAGCTGGGCAGGCGCGAGGGAATTGCACTCTGGCACACTTCCCTCGTGTTCCTGACCGTGAACCAGGCCCACAGCTAGGGTTTTGGCAACCACTTTTTCCTTCCACTATTTTCTCTTTTACGGATGGGGAACCAGGCTCAGAGAGACTGACATGTTCATGGACTTACTGGTAGGAAGTACCCAGACTGGCCCTCCGAACAGTTGGGAACCCCTTGTACCAGAGCCCTATGCTCCTTGGCCTCTCTGAGCCTCAGTTTCCCCACGTGGAAATGAGATTGTTGTAACGATCAGGTGGAGTGCTAGCTGTGCAGCGCCCAGCCCTGCTTGGCTCGCAGTGAACAGGAGGAACTGCTCGCTCACAATTTCCCTCAGTGGGTTACTGTCAGGTTCTGGAGTCTCAGTGTGGAAGTGAGCACTGCACTCAGTGCGAGGTCAAGCAGGTGGAGGTCATTGGGAAGAGAGGCGCTTGTGCGGAGGGGAGGAGTGGAGCTGCTTGTGGGTGGCTTATGTAGGAGCCTTGGCGGGTGCAGGGCTCGGGAGAGGACGAGGCAGTTGCCCCACCATTGTCCTCCGGCAGCGGTGGACTCCAAGGCAGTCACAGGTGTTTTCTGTGCTCAGTGGACCGCTCACAGGGCTTATGAAATAATGCTTATGCAGATGTTCTAGTTACCATTTGACACATATGATGTTAAAAACGGATGTTACAGCACTTGATACTGAGTTATCTGTGGCCTAGCCTTGTTTTGTTTCAGAGGCTCGTGGTGTGGTGACAGCTGGTCGAAGAGGTGCAGCATTTAAAAAGCCGCGAGCATCCTCAGCGCAGTGTGCAGACATGCTCTGAATGACTTCTCAGTGGCACACTGACGGGGAGAAGCCCCGCTACTTTATCATTGTACATTCTTTCCTGGAAGGGTGTGGTTAGGTCAATTTGAACTACAGAATTTTACCGAAAGCAAGGAGTAATGGGGCCTCTAAAATGAGTTTTTTTTGGTCAAAATGGAGTCCAGATGTTACCCCCTATGCTGTCACAAGGGGACTTACAGTCTGGTCAGGAGAGACTGACAGATATTAAATACCAAAATAGGGATAATATAAAATTTTCATGATCTCGGAAAATTTAAGAAAAAGTTGATCAGTTCAACTCCATTAATAGAAACAGTTCATCTAAAATACTGTGATCAGTGAAGGGAAGACTCACCGGAGTGGAAAGGGTATTTGCAGCACATAAACCACAAAGGGCTGTATCCGGGGCACAGAGCTGCAGTGAAGAAACAGCAAATGGCCCAGCCAGCGTGGCTCAGTGGTCAGCACCAACCTGTGAACCAGGAGGTCACAGTTCGATTCCTGGTCCGGGCACAGGCCTGAGTTGCAGGCTTGATCCCCAGTGGGGGGCATGCAGGAGGCAGCCCATCGATGATTCTCATCATTGATGTTCTATCTCTGCCTCTCCCTCCCTCTCTGGAATCAATAAAAATGTATTGAAAGGCAGCCCTGAGGGATACCCAGATGATGAATAAGCCTGTGGAAAGGTGTTGACACTTGGGATCAGAAATACGAGTGAGATGCAATGGTGCTAAACTGGATCAGCACAAATTGTGGTCAGACATTACGAGTGCTGATGAGAAGGGAACAGCGGGAACTGATACCGAGCTGGTGGGACCGTGAAGACAGTTGGGGAGAAGACGGGAGTTTTCTAGTAAAGCTGGAAACCCACCTAGGGTCCAACATTCCACTCCCGGGGCTGTGACCTGACTCCCACACCTGGGACCCTTGACGCAGTTTTGTGTCTGACGGCCCCGACTGGAACAGCTAATGGCGGTCAGTGCCGTGAACGTGAACTCGCTGTGTACAAGGGTGGACGTTCCCAAGCAAACAGTGGCCACGTCAAGTCATGCGATTCCATTTTTGTAAAGTAAATGCTTGCTTGGGAGTCTGCCTAGGTGGCAAAACTAGAAAAAGCTTATCGCAAAAATCAACAGTGACCGCCTTTGGGGGCAGGAGGAGGGCGATGAAAGGCAGCCTGGGCGGCAGCGGCAGTGTCCATTTCCGACCTCTGTGGTGGCGATACCGGCACGGACTCCTTTGTCAGCGTGATCAGATACGCCCTGTGTACTTTTCTGTACGTAGCCCCACCGCAGAGTAGTAGAATAAAGGGGAAACAAAAGTACAGACCCGGATAGAGCTGGAGACTGGTGGTGAGTAGGGGTGAGGGTTCGGTGCAGGGCAGGCTCTGGGAAGTGAGTGCCCCTTTGGAAGGTCACCAGGTGGCCAGAGCCGGGCCGGCTTGTGTTACAGGCCACTCGGGAGGGGCCAGCTGACGCCCAGAAGGGTGATGTGGGCTGTCCCGGCAGTTCCTGGCCGCACTGGGTTTCTGCTGTTTTCCCGAGTGCGTCCGGGACCCCGACCCCGTGCTGTGAGGCTGCCACACAGGCCTGGTGTGCCCGGCAGGCCTCAGCCTCCCCCACCTCCGCCCACCTCCGCCCAGCTGCCGGAGTGTTGTTGGCCTCAGGAATGGAGGCGGCTCTCCCTTCCCAACAGCCTTCCCAGGTCCTTCCGCGCTGGCTGCCGGTTTGCCACCGAGGCTCTGGCTGGGGCCTCAGCAGAAATCTGGGGGTGCTGCCTGCTCTGCTCTGCTGCTTCCTCGTGGGCTTTCATGCCTGGCCACAGGCTCTGTCTCTGAGGGGCTGGGCCTGCCCTCTGCCTCTCCCTGGGACTCAGGCAGCACCTGTGCCAGGCTGGAAAGGCCCACGCTCTTATCTGGTCCCTGCCCACACAGCTTCCCGGATCGGTCCTGGAGCAGGAGACAAAGGCCGGGGATGTTCGCCGTGACTGGCCTTTCAGAGGCCCAGCCCAGCTCCCAGTGGGACAGAGGGCACTGGGGAAAACAGGCCCGGGTGGGATGGGTAGAAACCAGGTTATCTAAATGTCAGCCCACGTTGCCCAACAGACCGTGCTTTGTTGGCGAGCTGGGTGGGCCTGGGAGTCGGCAGATCCTGACTCACTGTGTTTGTCCCAGGCAGCTGCACCCAGGGAGCGCCTGGCCCCCTCAGCAGTCCCATCATGAGCACTCAGGTTGGGCCCAGCGCTGGGGTGGGGTCCTGAGGAGTCCTGCTGGCCCTGGAAGGGAAACGGGGGGCCACAGGATGAACCTAAGCTCCAGGCACCTGCCCGGTGGCCGCCCAGAGAGTATGAAACGCTCAGTGTGTGTCCTCCACCGCAGCCCCCCCCAGATTGCCTCCTCCCTGTGGCACCCAGGGCTCTGTCCGCTGTGACTCTCACCGGGACCGCTGTGGCCTGTGGAGCCAGGGCCAGTGCAGGTCCGGTTCCTCCTCTGTCTGCTGTGAGCCGGAAGCAGGTGCCTTGCTGCTCTGAGCCTCAGCCTCCCCTCCGCTGCGCAGGGCGGTGAAGATTCAGCAGCCAAACGTGAAACCCCGCACCAGGAGCGCCCCCTTCCCCCCCAGCGGGGCGTATCAGCGCTGCTGGCTCCCAGCTTTCCTGCCCAGGGCTCCTTTTCAGGATGGGGTCCGACAGGGAAGGGGGAGCAGAGCCCTGGGGAGGGGAGAGGAAAGGTTAAGGGTTCGATGAGGGTTTGGGGCACAGAATGAAGGCCTGATCCCAGGGTGAAGGGAATGGCAAGGGTCCATCCTGGTCAGTGAGACCCATGGTCAAGGGTGAGAGGGGTGCCATGGGCAACCTGGATTGGGATGTCTGGGCCACAGCTGGAGGCTGAGCCCTGAGGCCAGTGGGGATGGCCACACCTGGCTCAGCCCCTTCTGGAAGCCAGAGCGGACCAGGCAGCGGGGAGTCCAGGCTAAGGGCTCTTCTCCGAATGAGACCCAGCCCTGGGAAATCCTCTGGGTACCCCACCTCCAAGGGTACCCCACCTCCAGGGCTACTCCCCTGCACAGCAGACCTCATATTCCGGTGGAGCAGGCCAGGACTCTCACACACGGATGCTGACACCCGGGTGCCACCCCAGTCTCCACCACTGACCCTGACCCCCCATTTCTTCCTTCTAAAAAGAGGAAAGAGTCACTGCCCCGCAGGCTGTTATGATGAACGAACTTGAGTCCCTGGAATGCAGTGGGAACCCAGCAGTTGTTCATTTCTCCCCCCACCCCCACCCTTTTCCACCGCTGCCTCTTCCGAGCCCCAGCTACGACCCTTGACCCTGAGCACTGACCAGATCTTAGAGTCCTAAGGCAAAAGGTCTGTTCCCAGCAGCATGATGAAGCCGCGTGTAGCTGTGTGACCTTAAACACGTGTCCTGACCTCTGATGAACTGTCTTCATCTGCAAAATGCGGGTGGTGCCCACTGCTTTGCGGTGCGGTGAGGATAGAGCAGCAGGTGAGAGGACTGGCCACTGTGAGGCCAGGGGTGCATCAGAGGAGGGAGCGACAGGAGAGGCAGGGGAAACGAGCTGGACCTGGGCCTGGCGAATGCTCCAGGAGCTGCTGGGATAGCGTGGTCATGGCTGAAGCTGTGGAACAGGAGAGAGGCCTGCAGGAGCCTGAGAAGGCTCCCGGCCCCGTGGGCTGCCTCCTCCCTCTCCCTGTGCTGCTGGCGCCGGCCCGTTACTCTCCCCGCTCCTGGCTTCTCTCAGGCCAGGCTCCTGCCTGGCCTTGGCCTCCTCATCAAGCCCACCAGCTTTCCCACAAACTCCGGGCTGTCTCTTTAAGGTGGACACCTGAGCCCACAACAAACTTGAGACAGTTCCTTGGAATCCCAAAATTGTTTTCACACCTGGGCTCTGGGCGGGTAGAGGCTGGACTGGGCGGTGACCACACTCTGGTCTTTACTGGGAGTGCTGGGTGCTTACTCATTCCTCCCAGTGCACTTGACCCTTGAACACGTTGGGGTTAGGAACAGTGACAACCCCCAGTTAAAAGTCTCTCTCTACACAAAGAATATGTGCACCCCTATATTCATAGCAGCGCCATTTACCATAGCTAAGATTTGGAAACTGCCTAAGTGCCCATCAGCAGATGAGTGGATAAAAAATGTGTGGTACATCTACACAATGGAATACCATGTGGAAATAAAAAAAGGAAAACTCTCACCATTTGCAACAGCATGGATGGATGTGGAGAGTATTATGCTGAGCGAAATAAGCCAGTCAGAGAAAGATAAGTATCGTATGATCTCACTCATGTGGAATCTAATGAAGCAAATAAACTGATGATCAAAAATAGACCCAGCTGAAACCGGTTTGGCTCAGTGGATAGAGCATCGGCCTATGGACTGAAAGGTCCCAGGTTCAATTCCGGTCAAGGGCATGTACGTTGGTTGAGGGCACATCCCCTGTTGAGGATGTGCAAGAGGCAGCTGATTAATGATTCTCTCTCATCGATGTTTCTAACTCTCTATCCCACTCTCTTCCTCTTTCTAAAAAATTAATAAAATATATTTTTTTAAAATAGACCCAGAGATATAGAAACATGAACAGACTGTGGAACCTCAGAGGGAAAGCAGGAGAGGGTGGGTGGGAAGAGGTGAACCAATGACCTTGTATGCATATATGCATAACCCGTGGACACACACTATGGGGTGATGAGGGCCTGGGAGGGGGGATGGGAGTGGGCTGGAAGAGGTTAATGGGGGGGGGGGGGAAAGGAGGACCTATGTAATATTTTCAACAATAAAGATAAAAAAAAAGAATATGACTTTGACTTTCCCAAATAATAGCTCACTATTGACCAGAAGCCATTAACATAAATAGCCCATTATCACATATTTTGTTTTTTATATATATTATGTGCTATATTCTTACACTAAAATAAGCTTGAGAAAACATGGTAAGAAAATAAGAAAATACATTTACAGTATTTATTGAAAAACATCCACTAGTAAGTAGACTCATGCAGATCAAACCCATTTATTAAGCACCAACTGTTTGTCACATACTATCTTCCAAAATCCAGTTAAGATCCTTGACCCTAAGCACTGACCAAATCTTAGTGTCCTAAGGGCGAAAGGCCTGCTTCCCCCCCAGCAACGCCTAGACTGTACTGATGGCTACAACGCAGAGGAAGAATCTCAACAAAACCCACACTGCTCCACGGTGACTCCATGTTTTTATGTGTTATCAGATGATTCCTCCCAAGAGTTCCAGTGCCCGGTCTCGCTGGGACCTCCAGCCCACGCCCGCTGCCTATGGGGACCCAGTCTCTGGCCTTTATTAACAGAACAGCCTGAGAAGATATTGTCCCTTCGAGGGCACCGGCTCTCAGAGCTCCAGGGACTTGCCAGAGTCACCCAGGTAGTCACTGCAGAGCTGGCATGACCCCCTCCTGGCCAGTTCTCAGCCTTGGGTCTCAGTTGGGTTTAAGATGTGACAGCCTGCTCGGGCTCACAAGCCCGCACCGCCGTTTACCATGGACCAGCGGGTCCGGTGAGCTTGCTCAGAGCTGCCGTTGGTGGTCACACGGGATGGGCCTCCTGCGGGGGGCTGCCCTGTCCTTCCCCGCACAGCGCGGGTGTGCCCTGGGGGCAGGTGTGCTGGGGCTGGAAGGGCCTGGCCAGGGTGCCCAGCCCCGGGGATCCCCCAGTGCCAGCCAGCGCACCGCGCCGGGGGCGGGGCCAAGTGCGGGGGCGGGGCCGGTGGGCGGGGCCTCGGGAGCCGGAGCCCGTAAAAGCGGCGCGGCCCTCGGGCCGGGCATCGACGGCGATGGCGCGTCCGCAGCTCCCGCCGGCGCTGGGCCTGGCCCTGCTCGCCTTCTGCCTCCTGGCGCTGCCCCGCGCCGCCCGGGCCCGGCCCGGGGAGCGCCTGGTGGGCGGACTGACCGACCTGAAGCCCAACGACCCGCAGGTGCAGAAGGCGGCGCAGGCCGCCGTGGCCAGCTACAACATGGGCAGCAACAGCCTCTACTACTTCCGCGACACGCGCATCCTCCGCGCGCAGAGCCAGGTGCGTGGGCCGGCGGGCGCCAGGTTAACCAGGAGTCGAAATTGGGATATTTCAACAATATATATTTTTAAATATATTTTATTGATTTTTTTACAGAGAGGAAGAGAGAGATAGAAACATCGATGAGAGAGAGTCATCGATCAGCTGCCTCCTACACCCCCCCCCCCACTGGGGATGCGCCCGCAACCAAGGTCCATGCCCTTGACCGGAATCGAACCCGGGACCCTTGAGTCCGCAGGCCGATGCTGTATCCACTGAGCCAAACCGGTTTCGGCTCAACAATATTTTTTTAAAAATTGAATTAACGCCCCAACATTTCACAAGGAACAAAATATCTGAATTTCAAATAGACTCTAACCCTGACCTTGCACAGCTGCCTCACTGGCTTCACCCCAGTCCCTCTCCTGCCAGCCCATCGGGAAGGGCGGTGGGGAGACAGGCGGTGGGGAGATGAGGATGGTGTGTGCGCTTGGGCAGCCTCCTGCCTGGCCGGGGCCTCTGTCTCTCCCCGGGGACCCCCACCCGGATGCTCCTGCCCCGGTCTGAACCCCCAGGCCAGGGTGCGGGCGCCCAGGGTGAGGGAATGGGAGATGGGGTGGTGGCGAGGGGCGAGGGGTAGTGTCTGGGCACCGCTGACCTGGCCCTGCCTCTGTCCAGTTGGTGGCCGGCATCAAGTACTACCTGACGGTGGAGATGGGGAGCACAGCCTGCCGCAAGAGCGCGGTGACCGGAGACCGCATGGACCTCACCACCTGCCCGCTGTCCGCAGGGGCACAGGAGGAGGTAAGAGCCCGCCCTCCGCCCAGGCTGTCCAGCTTGAACTGGTCTGGCTGGCCAGACTGAGGCCGGGCTGAACCCGTCCCTGCCTTCTGGGTGACTCAGCGCCAGGTCAGGGTGGGGTGCAGAGGAGAAGGGGGTTCCCCCTGGAGTGAGAGTTGGCTAGAAAGATCTGGGATGTAGTTTTGTTGATTCCTGGGCCAGGAACTGCCCCTCGGGGTGGGCCAGCACTGACTGGCGGGAGGAGGCAGGCCTGGGCCAGGCTCACCCCCCACCCCCTCTGTCTGCAGAAGCTGCGCTGCGACTTTGAGATCCTGGTGGTTCCCTGGGAGAACTCCTCCAGCCTCCTCAAGCACCACTGCGTGCCGGTGTAGGCGCGGCCACGGAGGGGGCAGCTGGTGGAGGGCGCTTCGGGCCAAGGCCGTGTGTGCCGCAATAAACTGCTCACTGCTTCTCCGTCCGTCTCTTCCGAGTGCTTCCCTCCCCCCTGCAGCCTTCCGCTCCCGCTCCTGGCAGCCCCACTCCCAGCTGAGCTGCTGTCCCGGCCCACACAGAGCCGAGGGGTATGGGGTTAGCGCCCAAACACCCAGCCTCAGACACAGAGGAACAGACACAGATTCTCGGTGTTCTCCGAGCCAAGGCCTGGGAGACAAAGCCACAGGAGGGGATGGGGGGGGGCGGCGTGAGCTCTCCTCGCTCTCAGCCCCCTGGGTGGCATGGGTGGGGAAGCCAGTGGGCCCAGGAGGGAGACTCCTCTGCCCACACGCGGCCCAGGACAGCCGAGCTGCTGCAGTGGGGACCGGGAGGCGGGCAGTGACGCCCAAGCACACATTGTGCTGGGCCCTGAGCTGGGTCCCGGGAAGGGGCTGGCCCAGGACCTCCGAGGGGCTGAGGGCAAATCTGCCTCCAGGAGGGATGAGGGGCGGATCGGTGTAAAGAGACAGAGTTGCAATATTTCATGCACACCTAAATTTGCAGCTACAATGCATGCTTCACACAGACACACGCACGCACACACACACACACACACACACAGGCACACGCACACGCACACGCACACACCAGACAGGGAAACCCAAACTGCCCTCGGTGTTCTGACACCACACACAGATCCAGAACACCACACACCGCCTGGCAGCCCGGAGCACCCCGCAGGAAACCACCGGGAGGTGTGAACACGGACCCACGCACAGCCTGGGACCCGCGTGTTCAGAGCTGTCCACACCCACCGGGGACAGGACCGGCCGTGGCTGAGCCTGGGCACACCGGGTGTGGGCACCAGCGGCCCCGGCAGCCAGGGCAGAGGCTGGGAGCCCCCAGGCCAGGCTCTCCCCTGCTGGGCCTGCCTGGCCCTGCCTCTCCCAGCTCAGAGGCGGGCGAGGAGGGGATACGCAGATGTGCCCTCCACAGGGAGGCTGAGGGCCGGGGCTGGGTCTGCCCTGCTTCTGCTCACACAGCCCGGGGCCTGGGCGGGCCGCTGCCGGGACGGCTCCCAGTGTCGCCGAGCAGGAGCTTCCAGTGCGGGGCTGGCGCGGGGCCGGTGGCCGGAAATGCTTGTTGAATGAATGTGTGAGGCGGTGGAGTGAGGCGAGGCCGGGAGGTACCTGCCAGGTGGCCTGTCCGTCCCCGGAATCTGTGCGCAAACCCCAGACAGCACCTCCTCTGCCCAGCCCCGTCCCGGCCCTGAGCCAGCCGGAGCCCTGGGCCAGGCCCCGAGGGGAGGCCTGGAGGCTTCGGGCTGGGAGGCCCAGGTTTGGTGGCAGAACTCTCACCCTCCGTCTGACCCCCCAGCTGTCCGCGTGGTGGCGCCACTGGACCAGAGGAGGTGCTGTAGGGAGTGGAGGAGCCCTCCTCTGGCTCCTCAGGGCCAGGGTGGGGCTGTGCTGCCCTCAGTGTAGGTCTCCCGCACCCGCACCCACACCCGCACCCGGCGGGGCCAGCACGGGGGCCTCTGGGCTCAGGATGGCCTCCCGATGGTCGCTCAGGGCGCTGGAGGCCTGGAGGCCTGGGCTCTGAGCCTCTGGGCCCCCCGCCCTGACTCAGGGGCTTTTCCAGCTCCTTGTCTCCTGCCTCCGGGGCCAGGAAGGCCTTCCGCCCGGAGCAGAGGCCCCGCCTGCCTCCGGCACCGAGCCGGCCGCTCTCCGGTCACCCTCTGGCTGCCGCTGACCCCCAGGCCCCCACGAGCAGCCCCGCTCACATGTAACTCACGCACACACCCGCATGTGCACGCTCACGTGCCACACGGCTCTCCGGCCTCGTGCCGATGAGGACGCGGAGCCTGCTGGGGTTTAAAACTCTGTTGGGTCCAGCTCTGCAGGCCTGGGCTTGTCCCGCCCCCCAGGGGGCGGCCTGCGGAGGCTGAAGTCCGTCGCCGTCCCTCCGGTCACTTCCTGAAATCCTCCTCTCCGGCCTGGGGGCGGATGGGGGTGTCTGAGCTGCCAGCCTCTGCCTTTCCCAACGCCCGCCCGTGGGGCTGTTATTAGGGCCACTTCTGGGCCCAGTCCCCCTCCCGCCCCCAGCCTTCCAGCGTCACCTCACCCTGGCCCCTCCTCCGCCCCCCCGCCCCCCGCTGGTCCTGCCAGTCCACCTCAAACGCAGTGTCCACGATCTCGTCGATGACGGACGCCTGCGAGCGGAACTTCTGCTGGTAGTGCTCCACGCCCGTGGCCAGCTGCAGGAAGTGGAACAGGAGCTCCTGTTGCCTGGGGGGGGCCGGGGGGCGGAGGTGAGGCCTGGCCAACCTGCCTGGCTGGGCCTTCTGGCCCCCAGAGCCCCCCAGACGGCTCTTCATGTCCATTTTATACCTTTTACTGATCTCAGGGAGAGGGAGAGAGAGAGGATATCAATGATGAGAGAGGATCATTGATTGGCTGCCTCCTGCACACCCCCTCCTAGAGACAGAGACAGAGACAGAGACAGAGACAGAGTCAGCAGCCTGAGCATGTGCCCTGGCTGGGAGAATCGTGACCTCCCGGTTCATAGGTCGATGCTCAACCACGGAGCCATATTAGTGAGGCCAGGTGGCTCTTCTTGCTTGCTCCCCCCCATCCCCCCCTCACAGCACTCCAGACCTCCATGTCCCGCCCCCCAGTCTGCCTGTGCCACAGAGGGTGTTAACTGTGTACCCTTCCGACCCTCCACCCCTCCTCCCCTCCGCCTAGCATCCACTGCCATCGATCACCCCCATTCACTCACTGCCCTACCCCTGCATCCACCTGCTCTGCCCTGAACCCCCCTTCACCTCGCTGTGCCTTCCGTCAGCCGCCTAAACCCCCAGCCACGCCCCCAGCCTGCTGCCCACCACAACGCCCCCACGCCCGCCTGGCTCACACAGCCGCGCCAGATGGCGCGGAAACCAGTTACCCGGCACGGCGCTCCGAGCTCGCAGACCCAACAAGACACAGCCCTGCCTCCGGGAAGCCAGTCCGTGGCGGAGCCGGGAGGCAGACCAGTGAGTGTGAGCCGGACAGAGGCAGGGAGGGTGGGGGTGGGAGGAAAGGGGGGCGAGGAAGGGTCACAGAGGGTGCCCCTGAGCTGAGTCTGAAAGAGGGGATGGTCTGCCAGGCTCAGCCAGAGGAGCAGGCGCAGGCTGGGGGCGGCGCGGGCAGGCCGAGGGGCCGGAGGCTCCGGGAATGGAGGGGCCGGAGGTGGAGACAGCCCCGCAAGGTCCGAGCCAGGTGCCGGGCCTTGAACTCAGGGAGGCGGAGCCCTCGTAGGGGTTAGCACCAGAGGAAGAAGGAAAAGCCAGCACGGCTCTAGTAAAAGAGGGGCCATGATCTGATGACGCCGCCGGCATGTGGGCCATGAGCCCCCGGGGAGCATGGCGGAGGCCCCCGGGGCCAGGCTGGGCTCGGGGCCGAGGAGCTGGGCGCGGAGGGAGCCGGAGGGCCAGGAGGTGAAGGGCGCAGGATTGACACTCCGCTCTCCCAACTCTGGGGCACCTGAGCCTGGCCTGGCAGCCGGAGAGCATTCCAGGAGAGAGAACAGCGTGGGCAAAGGCCCAGAGGTGCAGACGTGGTGCTCAGCTTGGGAAACTGTGGGTGCAGCGAGGGTGTGAGGGGGTGGCCGTGGCGGCGATGACTCTGGGGGCCCCGGAGGCTTTGGGACTTGGGCTCTGTGGTGGCTGAGGAGGCCGGAGGGGGCCGGGGGCCGGCATCCTGCCCATGCTTCAGAGCGGGGCTGGGGGCGGTGGGGGAGGCCCAGCCTCAGAGAGAAGGCTCTCCGGGAGCCAGGCCTGAGAGCCGGGCGGCGGGAGTCTGTGCCACTGTCTCCCGGCCCCGGGCGCAGCCCGGACCTGCTGTCCTGTCCCACTCAGCACTCCAGTCGGCAGGAAGGAGTAGTGCCAGCAGCCTGCTCCCTGGCCCCCACCCCCACCCCCACTTAGCTGAAGGCCCCTCCCTCCACGGCCCGCACGGCTCTGAAGGCAGGGCCCCGGGCACGGGTGTCCTGTCCGTGTCCTGTCCGTGTCCTCAGAGGGGCCACCACGCTCCCTGCCGCCCTGGCCAGGCGCCACCGCTCCCGTCAGCCCAGGCCTCCCTCCCTCGGGCCCCTTACTTCGGGGTCATGGTCCCAAACTTCTTCTCGATGAGGAGCCTCTGCTTGGTGTGCTCACTCGCCGCCTCTCTGGGCTCTGGTGCAGGGAGAGAGGGGGGTCAGGGCAGCGGGACCCGGGAGTCACGGAGGTTTTCAAACGGGGCTGACGAGGACGCCCTCAAAGGAACCGCTCCTCCAGGCGGGGAGAGGCCGGCCGTTCTGTTTGTTAGAACTCGGGCCCGACCCTCCGAACAGCCTGGCCTTCCGGCTGCAGGGATGGCCCCGACAGAGGCCGGCGGGCAGTCCACTGGAGCCGGACTTGGCTGGAGCTTCCCGAGGAGAGGGCTCTGAGGGAAGGGAAGCTGGAGGGGGCTGAGCCGAGGGTTTGAGAGGGAGTTGTGCGTGGCCATTTTCCCACCACGAAGCAGGAGCCGCGCTGAGCACAAAGCCACGCGCAGCCGAGGAGCACAGCGACAGGAGCAGACCAGGTCCTGGCCGCCGTGCAAGGCCTGGATCCAGCCGCCCCTGGGAGCCCCTGCACTCTCCGTTTGCTAAATGATTTTTCTTTTTGCTTCGTCTCTTTCATGGAGTGTCTGCCCCTGGTGGAGTGGGCAGGTGACCCCTGAGGACCCTCAGTCCCCTGGCGGTGATGATCTAAAGAGTGGGGTTCTGGAGCTCAGATTCTAAACAAAATTGCCGCACACAGAGCCTCTGGACAAGCGTGTGTCTGACCCTGACAAAACCCTCAGGCCGCTGAGGCCACCGCATGGGACACCACGGCCACAGACTTGCAAGAATTGACTCTCAATTTAACTGGCTTCGGAGGCTGGTCTAAGCTTTG